ACACACACACACACACACACACACACACACACACACACACACACACACACCCTCAGTCTCACCTGCAGACGTGTTATAGGTTGCTGACCCCAGTTCAGGTACCTTAGCTCTATTTCGTACTTAAAGCCTTTAATTCTACCTGTGCTATAATTTGATTTAAATTCATCATGTTTGTCGCGTCACCTGCTGTGTAAGATTATACCCCCTCTGAGGGCGACTTGTAGCTGAGACATGTTACTAGTGTTGTGTTATTAGTACTGGGCCTCCTACATAGTAGGTGGTCATCAAATTTGAATTGTTAACCACAGAGGAGCTAAATTTAGTCACCGGCCCAGAAACTGCAATAGACGCTGTATTTTAAAGTGAGAGCAGTTACAAAGCAGATTTCTCACACAGCAAACACTGATTAAGTACCTACTATGTGCAAGGCTCTAGAGGAACACAAGGATAAATTAAAGATACTCCACGTCTGACCTCGAGGAATTTACAGTCTGATAATAAGGGAGAAAGGGCAGTACGTGAATAACTTTGGTTACAAAGCAGGATATGATAAAACAAACATGTCATAAGAGAAGTCTGATGAGCATGCCCCACAATGCCTGAGCAGGCCTGTGTGGGGGCAATCTTCAGGCACGGACTGGGACGGGTGAGAAGTCCTCCACAATAAAAATACCGCTCACCCTGATCCAGTAATGGGTTTGTGTCGTTCTTTCGCATTCCCAGCACTGAGCACAGTGCCTGACATACAGTAGGTGCTTAATAAATGTCGCCAACTAACTGGACTTTAAAATTCACATCACATTTTATATGTTGTTGTTCAGTTTCATTTGTGTCTGATTCTCTGTGACCCCTTTGGGTTTTCTTGGCAAAGATGCTTAAAAACCATTGGATTACCCGAAAGCCACAAATTTAAAAAACAGCCTAGACATAATATTTATATTTTAAAAATTTTTTAAATTATTTCATTAAATATTTCCCAATTACACGCAAAAAAATGTTTTAACATTCATTTTTTAAAAATTTGAGTGTCAAATTCTGCCCCTCCCTCTTGCCTCTCCCCCGTCTCTTGAGAAGGTAAGCAATATATCAATTATACATATGAAGCTAGATATAATATTTCAAGAAATCATAAAAGAAAAAAAAATCACTCAGTATCTTAGAACCATAGGGTAATGAAAAAATTGAAAGAATTTACTAGTCACTTGCTGAAAGAAACCCTAAAATGAAAACTTCCAAGAACATTATAGCAAAAATCCATACTTCTAGGTCAAGGAAAAAATAGTGTAAGCAGCCAGAAGGAAAGAAATCAAGGACTGAGAGCTATAGTCAGGATCCCACAAGATTTAATAGCCACCACTTCAAAGAGGTGGAGAGCCTGGAACAGGATATTACAAAGGCAAAGAACTATGC